GAGGAGTGGAAGAGAGCAAAGGGTTTGAGCCAGATGACCTTCCCCACAACAAGAAACGTAGGGCTAGGGAAGAACTGCCCAGAGATTCTTCTTGTCGAAATGAGGATCAGAATGATGGTAGCGAAAACAAGGAGGACACTGGTGAAAGTACTTCTAAACGAACTCGAGTACTAGGTAATAGCCTTGGTAGACGCGTGCATTTTTCGTCTGTTGCTGCTGTTTCTGTTTTTAATCCGAAGGATAGTTTAGCCTCCCCCATGCTGCCCCCTCACGGGGTCCCAGTTCATGGTAGATAGAAGTGTTTTGTGTTTTCAACCGCACTAAGACTGACGTCTTTTCATTGGTCAGCCGGTTAGCGCGGTCGATGCTAATAATAAAGACACATACACACACACAGGGACATGCTCCGCATATCACCAACACACACCAACACACGAACTTCTACAGTCATCTGACTCCCAAAACCCACAGGGTTGCCATATCTTCATGAATCGGCAAAAGCTGTCTAGCTTCCCTGCTTTACTAAACTAATCGTGCTGCAATAAATTACCGTACTCATGGGCGCTGCTTTTGCTCGCCTCCCGTACTCAACCCCGATTCTCACCACCGACGGCTGTAAACCAGATCACATGCGAAGACCACACACCCTAGAAGCGAACTTTATTCAGCTACAACGTCTCGCTGACGGGGTGGGCAGCATATGGGAGAGGGGGGGAGAGAGAGAAAAGCTGTTTGCGTGGTGTTTCTCTCTTAATCTCGTCATTCGACACACTCCCCTCCCCCCTCACCCCTCGTGTGTCACGAATAGCAGAGTATAATCGCTCATCTGTTTTCTTATTGAGACGTTTCTTCCATTGTGTGGCCCAGATCAAGCTATTACGTTACTCAACCCTATTTTCCTATTATTGTCGTGGCAGGTGAGCCTTCGTTTAGAAAACAAATTTCTTCCGCCGAGTAATTTAATACTCTCTGTCCTCCCGCCGTCTCATAACATATGGTTTTATTGATTGTGCGTCTCTGCTCTTCAAACAACCAACCTTTTCCTCTTGGCAGCATTTCTTCTTCGTACCTCTCATTTCAAAACTTACGCGCACCACACTTCTTGCCATCGCCATTCAACCTACGAACGTAGCGGCGACCGCGAAGCGATGCGCCGCGAAGCGCTCTTGTAGCATTGCCGGTTTTCCTCCACTCACTGAATAGACTCGACCACATTCCGTTCAACTGCTGTGGGTATATCTCTGATGGGTAGTCTTTCTGTGTGTGTATGGATATCTTTTGCCATATTCAAAGAAGTAGTCTATATAGTCTTTCGGAGAGCAATGCTTTGCCGTAATCTTCGTGGAATCAGGAGAGTTGTGTTGCTGGGTAAGGGTCCCGAGTTAACAGGCACAAAGCTTGTACGGTGCAAAAGAAGCAGCAGGACAGGGGCACTCCAACAGCAATTTCAGTTCGAACCAAGGTGAAGCCATTCAAGAGTACTCCACCTGTGGTTCGTCTACAGCAATTCCAAATGCTACTTGCCACCACAAGATCAGGAGCTACTACCATGCTTGGTGTTCCCGGCAGCATGGCTGGGCAGTGCAAATGAAACATCATCCGTGCCTACTCTAGATCCTCTGCAATCTTCTTGTTAGGTGAATTTTGTGCAATGCACTCTCTGGCGCTCAGTTCGTCTTCCCTCTCATTTTTTGCGGCAATGGTCATCGATGCTGGGCATATGTTCTTGCGTGGTATCTCCGGCGGGTGCAGATGCACCGTGGTCGCGCCGCGTAGCTATGTACGATTAGCACATTTTTCGGGGCTGCGGGTTGTGCCGACAACTTTGAAGCCTACCACTGTGAACGGAAGTTGGCAAAATCTTCCCTCGATAGCCACCGTAATAGTCCACTGCTGTGAGCCTTCAGCCTTGGGGGAATGCACCCCGGTCGCGCTGCTCTTCTGTGTACATGTAAACCGGACTCTTCGTTCTCTTCCTTTGCCTTCCGATTTTGTTATTTTCCGCCGACAGACAGTGCAGCCTGGTACATAACTGGGTACATGTACCTGTGGTGCGCTGGCGGCTGACACAGCTGTAGAGCTGTAGTTTGATCGCTTTTCCGTCGCTGCAACTCTCGGTTGACTATTGTTGGTGTTTGTTGGCATTCTGTTGTACGTTGCCATATACTCCTAGGAATGCATGGCGTGTCCATCGAGGGATTCCGCCCCGGAGGAATCAATACATTTCTGCACCATTCGTCCGCACGGCAACGCATCTCCTGCTGGCGACCTGCACACATTTGTATCCATTCGTACCATATTCTCACGTCGGAGGAAAGGGAACCCTCACACATACCAGTGAGTGTATCAAGGAGCCAACCCAGCAAGGAATGCATAGGCACTCCAGAATCCACCCGTGCTACAGCCTGCTTCCTAGCTCCCCTACGCCTACATGAGTATTGCGCTCGTTTTGGCGCGGCAGGTGTTTCCCCGAAAAAGAAGCTCACCTGCAGCTTCACAGCAGCAGCGTTCACACGGACGATGTGTGTCGACCTTTGGTGCCGCCACTGTCTCGCTCACTTGTTGTCGTGTAGCTTCGCTTTCTAACGGGGGGCAAACGGCAAGGTGGACGCACGCTCTGAACCTGCTCTGAACCTGCCTGGAAACTGAAGCAATGTGACACTGCTCAACAAACATGCGGGGAGGTCAGGTCATCATTTCATCATCTCCTCTGCGCCTCTGTCTCGTGCACAAGTTCTTGTTGTTGTTGTTGTTGTTTCTCACATTAGCTCTAAAAAAAAAAAGATTTTGGGAGCCCGTGGTCTCAAAACCCGGCATACACGACCCCACGAAGAAACAGAAAAAAATAGGGTACAAAAACCACTCGGAAGAGAAACAAAATGATAGAAAGAAAGACCAGCTACCGCACCAAACGAGAAAGAGCGTCGAGGAGACCGATCAAAATAAAATAAAATCAAAGGAGAACGGGGAACGCTTCCCATGTTTGCGGCCTACGCCACTTATTTATCGGGTGAGACTGTTTTGGTGATGTATTAACTTCACGGGAGGTAGACGACCGTCCTTCACACGGACGAAAGAGGGAGTGCTCAAAGAGCG